CTATGATGTACATTGTGCGATCTCGCTGCACTTGCGCAGAGGCCACAGGAAAATACACCACCCACATATAATACCAGATAGTGGGCGTGGTAGACGATGAGGGCGTAGCCATAGCCACAAACACTCGTGTTCTGGAGACTCCAAGTCAGATCTACGCTTGAAAGGTATCTCTGAAGACACGAACGCGCACACGCCACCCCCTGTTCGGTTGTGGCGGTCACGTCTCGCGATGTTGTAACCTGGAATGGTAAGGATGTTATTATCGATGTAGTCATGCAGCCAAGTCTCCGTAATAATTGCAATATCCATGTGAAACGTTAAAAGCTGAGCAGTCAACTCGTCCAGTTTGTCCCTGACCGATCGAGCATTTGCCATGTAGAAACTTGGGAAGCTGTAATTGGGGCGTTTTTGAGAAGTAATCTTAGTTAGATTGATTACTTTCACTGCTCGTTGACGATTTACTGGTTTACTGGGTCCACGCACTGCGCTGCGAGGTGTGATCCTGACCGGAATCGATCGTGCGTCCTCTCCTATTGTTCGCGGAACAAAAGGACAGCTACGAGAATTAACATAATCACCAGTAAAGATGGAGACACAATTATTTAAATTTCTTGATCTTGAGTTGTAAATATTCCTGGATTGACAGGGTCTTGAAATCACAGGAATCGGCATGTGTTTTTGAGTGAAGGTATTCCGAAAGCGTAGAATGCCCAGGTCTTGGAGTCGGTGTTTTAATTCAGGACGCAAAGAGACGCTATTAATAGAGGCAGCCAAATTACGCAAAGCCGAAGGAGAATACGCAATTGTTGGTCGGGTTCGGTCAGAAGTCCTTTGCTGGTCTTGAATTAAACAGGGTCCTGGTAGAGGGTGAACGTCACCACTTCTAATGATGTTTTCTAGTCCGACGGGCCGCAGGACAAACGCTGCTTCGGGCAGACATATTATAACAGGCCCATGTTTAGTAGTCTTCTGAACAGCGAACTTAACTCGATGTTTCCGGCGAAATTTAACCAGTTCCAGTTTGAGAGATGGTCCGACTGGCAGGTTAGTATCTTTAGCCGTCCTGTAAATCAAGCTGGTGAACCTAGGCTCCGCTAGATGGGCTAGAAGAATAAGAAATACGAAGAGCCTAATGACGGTGCGTGTGTACGCCATTAGACCCCAGTCCCCATTCCCAATTTATGGGAATAACAGAAATTTAGGGGATAAAAAAGATGGCAAAAAAAAGAGATTATACAGTAACAACTGGGCTTTATAACCCATTTGAGAGGTGACCTAAATAGTCAAAGCAAAGTATGCCTCCTTAACGAAAATGTTTGAATTTGGAAGCAAAATGTTTGTTATATGAGGGCTCAAGGCTGTTCATAGCATTATGCAACTGTGTGGCATTGCATACTGGTAGCTGTTTCTTAAAATAGGACAAACCTAGTCCCTACAGGGCTGGGGAGATGTGTTGAACTTGTTAGTATTTGTCAGCATGAGAAATGGAAATTTTTGCATAAGGTGCTATTCATATATGTCATCCTTGTACAATTATATCATTACCCATTACAAATAAGAAATTAAGAATTGATAAAAGCTAAAATTATGGTAGAAAAAATCAAAATACAGTCTGGAATTTCTACACAGAGACAAGTCTAACCCCTTGGTATGACTTTATCTTCATTGCAGACATGTAAATATCAGGTTTTCAAGACCAATAAAAAGAATTATTTGGTAGAATAAAAACTAGTTCAAAGTATCAATTTAAAATCTATTTACATAGCCCTGACAGTGTTTTTCTCTAAGCATTGGTGTCTAATTTTCATTAAATTTGTTTATCATTACTACAACCATATCCTCCTTTTAAATCTCCAAGGAGCATATGCATGACTGACAAATTGTATGACACACAGCATCTAATTCTCTTTGTTCACTTTTACAAAGTTTTTTTCACTTTTTTTCCATTTCTGCTTGTGTGGGGGCTGGCACCTCTGGTTTTGTGGTGGGACTTTCAGTAAAGACTTCCAAGTACTTCTCAGGAACCTGATGTTCCTCATCAGCATTCTCTTTCATTTCATCAAGGTCAGCTTTCATTTTCTCAGCAATTGTCTGTTTTCCATGCATGGCACACATCATCTAGTTCTCTTTGTTCACTTTTACAAAGTTTTTTTTCACTTAGTTATTTTAATTTATCAACTTTCATGAATAGCTGCCTAAATTGCATATGAAGCAAATTTTTGTTTCCTTTTTCTGGCTGGTAGTTGTATTAAAGGTTTGAAATTATTGGTATCAGTTTCTGGTGACTTAGTGACCATTTTTTGTGCATAGAATGTGTAATACTTCATATGCTATTGTACATTAAAAATTTGAAATACAAAATACTTAGAACACTGAGAAATAGTTCAAATAAAGAGCCAGGGAGCTTAATAGCTGCTAAGTTTGGATTGTGATTTTGCGACTGAGCAACATGTGTTGGTCAACATATGGGGTACCATGCTCAGAAAAAACAGGCTTTGTTTTCATTAAAACTTTTCCATTTCTGCTTGCATGGGTGCTGGCACTTCTGGTTTCAGAGTGGGACTTTCGGTGATGACTTCCAAGTTCCCTTATCAAGATTCTCTATTGTTTCATCAAGTTCAGCTTTCATTTTCTGAGCAATTGTTGGTTTTCCAGAGTTATTGCACACTCAAGGTTTACATAAATTTGTTGGGAGCATATCTGGTGTTGTATCCATGAATGCTGCTTGCATATTGAAAATGGTTTTGGAATGGATTCACTTAAGCAGGCCTTTGTGCCATATATGCAGAAACTCTGAAACATTGTGTTAATACACATTATTTACTGTTAGAATGTCTATAATGTTGAGAAGATGGAAGGTGCTATCTGTTTGTTTGTGCAATGTACCAATAACAGTGGGGCAAAACTTCCTCACATTTGTTCTAAAGTGATCGATCAATAATTACTGAAGAAATGCACGGTGAAATGCATCTTCTCCTCCTATTTGTTAACCAGTGTTTAGTTGGCAGTGTGGTTGTCACTTGGGATTGAGATTGACAGAGTATATTCCATGGTTAATCACAATAATTCTCTTGAGGGAAATGATGAGTGAGTAGGCACAACTCTTGCATCTCCAGCACCTGAACAAGTCATGTAAAACACCATCTTTCTTTTGCTGTATTGTGAACCTCTAAATACCTGGGGAGTAGCTTAGATGATAGAGGATTATGTTAAGTGGGAAGACAGTGCTGAAAGGGAAAAATGGCAATTTGCAAATCCTGAAAGGTTTCCCTCAAAACTAACAGAACTCCCTGTAAAAGTCTTGTATAGGTAAAGTAAGTAAATAGTAATTGAAGTAAAATAATCTGATGGATGTGGTATTTTGGCTGGGTTAAATGAATTTGTGAGGAAACTGAATCCTTGATTTGTCACATTGGTTTACATTAGTAGCATTCTCATTAACCTTCAAAAAATTTCCTCTAAAAGAAGCTTGGAAAATTTGACTTCAGATGATATGAAGTCATTTAAGGTATGTTTCTATTCGTCATGACTGCCTAACCGCTGGAAAAATTGCCACCTCCCATGAGGGGTATACTCAGTGCCTCAGAAGCATCCTTTGGCATAGTTATTTAAATTTATTGAATTTTGGAGTAAAAACCATAATTGAAATTTGAAGTTTTTCTAATAAGAGCTGTCCAAGAAGTACACATTGTTCACACAAAATGCTTTCAACTTGGAATCCAATGTTTTGTAAACAGTTACAAATGTAAACACGATGATTGAAATATGCAGAAGTACATCATCATAGAATAATGTAATTTTGCTCTATGCTGCTGTCCAGTTTTTGTTGGACTGTGGACAGTTTGTTCTGACTGGTTTCCAAAATTGGACTTGACTTAAGTTTGCTCTTAGCTTTGTAATTGACAGGAGAATCTTGATAAAAGTAATAAAATATACTGGGCATCACAACGCTTGTGTGATCAGACTGTTGTTAGGATGCGATGATATTTGCACAATAACCAACATACATTTTCTTAAGTGTCAGTGAGTACATGGAAAAACATTTTCTGCTCTCCCCAAAGTTGATTAACATAGAGAAAAACTTACAAGGTTTGTCTTTGCTTTTGCTTATTCATTTTCACCTAAGGAGATCACAAAAGTAAACATTTCTTATTTTTGCTTCAGGGTATAATGAAATCTGTTGACTCTATACTTCTTTTGGAGCACTAACAAAACAAAGGTTAATTATAAAAGTGAAATGAGGTTGCATTTGATAAAAAGGATATAATTTATTGATCATCAAATCATTTTAGATTGTGTTGAAAAAATAAATCAGTTAAGAAAAAATTTATTCAAAAGATATAATAAAGTAAGAATAAGATTTAAAGAAAAATAATCATAGTAACTATTACATTACACGAGTATTAAATACGAAAAAAAATAGTTTGAGAATCAAGGTTGCCAATTTCTAGCGGTTGAACTTTTAAAGGAGAAAACATTTAAGTTAACATCTGATTCAGTGTTCTGATCGGTGTGTATGTATTGGAACATAAACAGTTTCATTTCACATCACTGAAGATGATTTGATTGTGTGCAGAACTTGTCAAGTTATGGGAATTGGCCACGACAAAGATGAAAATTCATCTGAAAACCAAAAATGCTTCAACAGACTATGGTTCATTATCATATTATGCAAGCATCTGTCAATAATTTGAAGGTCTTTCAAACCACACTCACAAATTTCAAGTCTGGCAACAACCCAAATATTTTATTCACATCATAACCTTGCTTATTTGACAGTAGAAAATCAAAGTCAACAAGAAGTCAACAATAAAAGTTTTAAAACAAAACAAAAAGCAGTTTTATCATATACTAATTAGTGCATGCCTGTTCAGCCATCTTTTTGTACAGAGATAATTGTCAAGGGCTTTGCAGTAATCCACAGCAGTTTCTGTAATCTTTTCCATTTAACTGGATCTAGGGTAAGCTTCTTCCCTGCCCTACTTACATTTGGTCCATATTAAATTCCTGCAGTAAAAAGAAAAGCTGCACAATATGTATGGCAAAATTTTTATTGAAGGTCGACCTTTACTGCAGTAAGAGAGGGGATCCTCTGAAGTTTCCTCCTCTGATAGCATACAGTTAGGTGGTGAAGTTCTCATCATTAAATATCATTAAGGATACTGGAATGTGAGTGGCATCCCACAGCACTGAACAAACAGATGTAAAGGTGTATGTTTAATAAGTTTCATTGGTTTTAATCATATGTGGACATACTTGACTTGACTTTTTTTCCTTGACTTTTTACACATACTTGGGCTGTGTTAAATAATGAAATAAACTACAAGTGTCTTTTTGAATCGTACATGTGTAGAAATAATTGTGTCATCAAGTTTAATGTTATGTTGGTGGAAATTGAGTGACACTGCTTAAATACTGAACCATAATGGAAGAAAAGTTAAATAATCTACATGAAAGATTACATGAAATTAAGACTACATGAAAGTCCACAATAGCAAAACCTGTGGTCACAATCTCAAACTCTCCTATGAATGTAAGAATCGCTGATATTCCTCTTCTTGATATAATGATTAAAGCTGTTGGGGTCCCTTTCTCTCAGCCACACCATGTGGACAAATTTGTGTCTGAACACTGTCCACTACCTTAAGCTCTTTTTGGCATTGCATTTGTTTTCCACTAATAAGCCAGCTTAACATCCTTTGCCTCTCTACCCTGCATTGAATTGATACCCAATACCCCCAGCAGACGAACAAAGTCTTGTCTCAACTTGTTTTGAGCAATAAATTTGGTAATATGACTTCTTTGTTTGCCCATGGGATATTGTGTTTTCTTTGACTTTTCCACTTTCTCTGCAAGGGCCAGTCTCTCGGTGTACAGCCGTGGTTACCATGTTGCTTTAGGGCCACCAATGAAACCACCAATGGTTCTCTTGTTTGTTTGATTAACACTGGCAAAAGGTTAAAAGTAGTGGGATGACATCCATTTCATGTCAGATGGTATCAGTTCAAATTTGAACACAACCTGCTCTCCTCTTTCAGTGGTCAATGTCTTCCCTTCAATCTGTTCCATTTCTTCCCTCAGGTGATTTGAGTAAGATTTAATGAATGGATGATCTTCTCCACAGTTGGCACCAAGGAGTAAATGATTATCATTACAACTTTGTACTCTGTTCAGCAGGTTGAGAAAGCAAACTAAATATGCAGTGACTGTGTCATCCTTGCCAATGGCACACCATCCGCCCCCACTGCCACATACAGTACTCTTCACTAGTGCTATGTGCACTGTACTTCGAAGTGTTAATTCCAGCATCAACCAATGTAGTCTTAGTCTTAATCCATCTGCTTACTGTATCAGGGGAACAGCTTTGTGAGGCTTAGAGTAACTAATAAAAAGCTGCTTTACATCACCTCGAGGAATATCTGTATGCTTCATATATTGCTGGAGATGCTTAACAATACAAAGACTCACATCTGGTGCATAGGCCTGAAACTCAATACAAGTTAAATTTTTACCAGGTCTTGAAGTTTTCAACAATGAGTTAATAAAAAACACACACTTATCCGAACTTATTTGCATATAATCAATTGATAATGTGTGCAGAGTCTGGTGACGCTGTCCCGAAAGCAACACCATCAACATAACCACTTCAAAGTCAAGTTCTTCAAACTAAGTTTCTCAGGTGGGCCAAGTTTAGCTAGATAGTCTAATACCACTGTCACATCCCAAGTTTCTTGGTACCTAGGGAGAGAGGGTCTGTATTCGAAAATTCCCTATATGAAACGTCAGACTAAGGGATGCTGTCCAATAGTGTAACGCTCTGATGTAAAAAAAACAGTAGATAAAGGACTCTGTGCTGTATTGAGGGCACAATACCCAATCCCTGTTTGGTAAAGTTCTGCCAGGAAATTAATCCCATGTTCTATAGCTACTGTCTCCCTTTGACAACAGTATTGTTCCCATTTAGTGATGAATGGTTTATATTGTAGTTTGGTGCCCTTTCTCCAGGACTGCAGGATTAGTGAGGTAGCTGATTCCATAAGACCTCTGCCTTCAAGTGATGTCCGGACAAGTGGCATATCAGAAGTGTGAGCTTCTGGTGTAGTGGATGCACCAAGTCTGGCTGTAGAAATAAGGTGTGTTTCTTTTTGGGAAGCACAAGGGGTTCCTCAACCGGCAGTCTCATTACCAATGGCCACCATGGCTGAGTTGGCCAACATGGCACAATCAACAGTTCTGTGGCCTCCTCAGCTTGGATTTTCTGTAACACTTTTGGATGATACTAAAAGGAGGAAAAGCATAAAAAAACATAAGGTGTCCAAGAAATTGAAAAGGCATTAATAGCCATTGCTTCAGGATCTGGTTGGTAGGAAACAAATGGCCTTAACTGGTATTTAAGCCTAGAGGCAAACAGGTCAATCTGAGGCTCAACATGAATTTTCGAAGAAGTTGGGCAATCAAATCCGTACACCTTGCATAGTGCTTCTCAAACTTCACTGATCATCTGCCTTTTTTTCCGTCATTTTGAAAGTGTTAGTTTCCGGGGCTTCTTGTTTAATCTAACTTCTGGTCATTTCTATTTCCGCTTCCTCATCTTTTAGTTTTATTGAACATCTTCTAGTTATATAAGGTCAAGCGTGAATGAGTCAGGAAAGCGATGTATGCTGCACAACATCGATGTATGACATCCAAAATCGATGTATTCCGGATGAAATTGATTTAGTTTATTTTAAGACTTGTATTATAACGCATAACAATAACGTAATTGAACAAAACATTAATGTATCCATGTTCGATATTTTGGCCGTAAAAGAACCTCCTAGAAATTCTTTAATTCCTGGTTGTCAAATTCAGGACTGTTATCGCTAATCAGCACTCCAGGAATACCATGTCGTGCAAACTGCACCTTAAATTGGGTAATTACAACTTGTGCTGTCCTCCTGTGAATCTCAACTACTTGGACTAGTAGTCTAACATTATCAGGAATGTCTGCTGCCCAATGAGAAACAGATCCGTGGCAATTGTCTGCCAAGGGCGCAAAGGATGTGGTTGAAGCTCCTCACGGGCCTGTGCTGGAGGGTGTGTTTGACAGATTGTACAGCGAGAAACAAAGTCTCTTATCTCAGCACTCATTCTTGGCCAGTACAAAATTTCACGAGCACAGCGAACACATCCTTCAATGCCAATGTGACTACTTTGGAGCTGAGTTAGCATGTCCTTTCAAACTGAAAGGGGTAGTACAAGCTGTTTGTCATGGAAAACTAGACCCTGTGACTCTATCAACTCACTTCGCTCATCATAATACGGTTGGACAGCAGTGGGGCATTTCTTCTTGTCGGGCCATTTCTTCTTGTCGGGCCACCCTAGCTTGATAACAGGGATAAGTTCCTGAATATCACCATCTGCAGCAATTTTTCATGGAAAACATCTCGTCTCGGTGGTTCGATTTGAATGTGCTCTTCATGATCAACTACCTCAAGTGCACGAATCTCGCAGAACTCCGTCTGCATTCCATCAGTTGTCTACAGATATGCCTGACTCAATGCATCTGCAGTATGCATGAGTGTACCTTTCTTGCATTGCACCTCAAGGTTGTACTTTTGTAGGGCCAGCCACATTCGCTGCAGACGTTTGGGTGACTGGGGAATTTCTTTTTTGAATATGGACTTCAGTGGTTCATGGTCAGTCTCAATTGTGGCTACGTCTCGCCTGAAGAGGTATTGGTCAAACTTGTCACACGACCAAGTGACTAAGGGCTCAGGAAGCATAACAAACAGGCTGACTATCTATAAGCAATACAGCCCCTAAGCCAGACTGGCTTGCATAACATTGGAAAGTGATTGGCTTGCTTACATCATAATAGCAAAGAACAGGTGTCCCCGTCAGGAACTTCTTGATTGTGTTCATTGCGAGGAAGTGTTGCAGCAACCACTGGAACTCCACATTCTTGTTCTCTAGGCTTCTGAGTGGCTCTGTCATCTCTGATAGGTGAGGCATAAACTTTGCAAGATAGGTCACCATCCCAAGGAATCTCCTCAATGCAGTGACATCCTTAGGTTCAGGCATCTGCTATATGGCCTGGGTCCTCTCAGGCCCTGAGAGGTGAGTATCTGACCCATGAATTTCACGCTTGAATGGTGCTGTTTCACTTTGACACAATTCAATTCCAGGTTCCACAAGCGGCATTTCTTGAGAAAAGCGCACTCATGTCTTTTGAGACTGTTGTTTACTTGTCGGTCACTATTGCCAAATTCGGCAATCAGGAAGTCATCTGCTATCACTTCCACTCCTTCCAGATCGTCCACAAACTCGTTCATGGTGTGTTACCACACTTCAGGCGCTGAACAGATGCCAAATGGCATCTGGTTCTATTGGTACCGCCCAAATGGTGTATTGAACATGGTTTTACAGATTTAAAGCAGATGAGTTACAAGTTCAGTGTTTGTTTCAGTTGAAGAAGGCACTATACATTGCATATAAATGTAAAGAATGCCTTGGAAATTGGCAGAGCATAATGGTTCACAAATTATTCCCAATTCCCTTTATAAGATATGCTTGCAGGGAATGATGGTAGTTCTATTTAACTTCGCCAAGTCTCTGATGTGATGAATAAAATACTATGCTTTTAAACTTGTCTCACTGGAATAGCGCTCAGTTCAGTACTAAGGTGATATTACAAAAATGGGTAATATCAGTAATGGGGTATAAATTTTCTAAATATTTTGGGATTTCTTAACCAGTTACATCTTTTATTTTAGATGGTCGCCTCTTCTCTAAAATCTGCCAAGGAACTTATAAAAGAATGTGTACATGGCAGAGATGCAGTTCGAGCTAACAATGGGATCCTCACTAGAAGTGGCAAAATTGAGCATTTGCAAAGGGATGAAGGAGAGGCCATTCATGCATATGACGATGAAGTTCAAACTCCTCAGGTGGCTCACACATTCCGAAGAGGTTATCTACCATTACGCAATGAAGGTGCAAGAGGAACTCTATATCGCGCTAGAGATGACTTAATAGCTTTGCATGGAACCCAAGAAATATGCCTCAAAATGATAAAATTCTAATTGGTTGAACATGAGAATCTTTTTACCCCGTTTGCTATTTGCGATGTCTTTCAGTATAGTTGGATAATAATGATGATGATGGTAAGCAAATTAGACATCAGCTTAGTGATACTATTTATGTCAAGCCTTTTTAGATAGGCACTTGTATTGGCTTACATGACATTTTAAAGCCAATCATGTTGTGGTCGAGCCTGATTGAAAATGTGCCGTTGTGGATCACTCGAGAACAAATATCCCCCTTCTCTGTGTTATCATCCCTGTTTATTCTGGTGACATGATCAGTGTGAAAGGAGACCAAGATGAAATATGGCATGCAGAAGTTTGACAAGTTGATCTTGAGCAAAATAGAGTGAAAGGATATTTCTTTGTGAAGCGTGTACACAGGGAGAGAAATCACTTGTGGGTTAGGAAATCAAGTTCATGAACTATGGACAGTAATAACTTCAAAAGTATCATTGACATTTGGCAAGGGATATGGCATGGTCCAAACTGGCAAGAACAAATCTAACGGTGAACTGCCTTATTATTAGTTGATTCCGGTAGTAACATTTGCTGTATTACTTACAGGAATTCAGAAATGTATTTTCTTTTTTTGGGTCAAAGTAGGAATATACATCCCACTATTTCTTCAACAACAGAAAAAAAAGATTATTATTCAGTGTTATTGATAGCAAAAGAGACATACTTGAAAAATTAGAAATTTCCTTTTGGAGTTAAATTTTCCAAGTCAAGATTGAAAAATACAATTTCCTTGTTTGTTTTGATGAATAGTAGCTAAGATAGAGTAACTTATTTGATAATTTCCCATACCGTTACAAAGTATGGAAACTGAATGGATGGGGTTTTTTATTTTACGTGCAAAATACAAATGTGGAAATCTGGCATTTTCATTTTGATTAACAAAATACATATTTGGAAGAGAAGTTCATTGTAAAAATGACATTTTCTTTGTTTTCAGTGTGGAAAGCTAAGGTGTAAATACTATACATGTAATTTTTACAAACTGTAACCAAGTATGGAACATAATGGTTTTGGATTTATTATTTTACCAACAAAATACACATCTGGAAATCATGCATTTTGTCTCTGAACAGAATAATATACTTGGAAAATAGAAAAGTCATTCAATTTAATTTCCCAAGTTTAGATTTGGATTAGAGTGCAAATTGCATCATACTATATGTAAACTGATTTTAACTGCATTCGGGTGCCGTATATTTATGCTGCGTTAATACGCTGTGCATTGAAAAAAGGAAATAAGTCAATTTTCCGATCTTACAATATCACCCAGAGCTGCCATTTGAACTGATTACTAAATCTTGAAAGTATGTGTTGCATCATGCCATGCGATGTGAACTGACTCTGGATGCTGTGTATTTATTTAGGGGATGTTGCAAACTAAGTCCAAAAGAGCTCATGTTTTTCACTGCAGCAACATTGTTTTTTGACAGTGGTCACAAAGATGTAACATAAGAAGAGCATGTTTAAATTTTAGGATACTTATTATGAAAAGACCATGTAAAGTATAGATATATGTCAAGTTTATTTGGAATTTATCGAAGGATATGAAGGATTACAATATTGTCCCAAACAGTGCCCTGTAAAGCATCATTACCTCCATAGTATAGGGGCTATTATGGGTCCTAACCAATCATAGTACAGCATTTGGTCCCTGTGGGACCAAAGAAACATCGAAAAAATTAGACTGAATATATAGTTAAACAATAATTTTATAAAGCAGTTTCATTTCAGTATCAATCAAGGTTTTTTAAAACATAACATTTCTATAAACTTCCAATACTTTATTTCATTATTAAAAATCAAACATCATCAAGCCTTATATAAATTACCAACGCTTGCTACAGTTTCAGTCAGTACTATATAAATAGTTATTGTAATAAATGCATTAATTAAGCGTCACAATTTCAACTCCTTTCAAATCTAGAGTCTAACTGAAATGGTAACACGAATAAATCTCCTAAACTGCCTTTTATTATAATTTCGGTTAGTTTAAATAAGTACTGGAAGTAATACTGATAGTAATAACGTAATTTCCTCTATATAAAACCGAAACATCCATTAAACAATTCGCTTGTGGTATAATTACATCAATTAGAATCAATTGTGTAAAAATCAGCCCGACTGCACAGCAATAAGGCGGTTCTCGTGTGCAGATTTAAGAGAGAGGACAATCTGCTGTTCCATCCCTCCCCGAACAACAGAAAGGATGGATATGTGTTGGGGAGATTCAGCACTGCTCTGCGGGTGTGTGCGACTGGTCTCCTTTCTGCGCCTTCCAGGTTGTTGAAACCAATGGTGATCTTTTCAATGCACACCGTATTAGAGCCTGTACAAAATCTTAAGAACTTTGTTAATTTCTCATCTTCTATCCCCCGAAAAAAGCGTTTCAAATAGGATAAGGATTCCCCCTGTACTCAGATCTCAAGGTTTGCGTCGAAAAGTGATGATCTTCTTGTTGGTTGGTTTACCTCGTGCAAACATCTCCAGAAGGCAATCTGTAGACAAAAACTCGCGGTGAAATGCTGACATCGGTGTGCTTCAGCTGTCTACAATATATCTTGGAGTTTGAATGAACTCTTTGTGGGCAATCTCCAAGACGACATCTTTGACTTGTTTTGCTTTGGGAACAGTCTCACAGTTAAAACGTTCCAGAAGATTTAGCCATTCGTTTTCCTTTTCTTTGTCCAGCTTCCCATTCAGAGAGAGGTTAACCAGTTCTCTTTCGTCACTAGTGAGGTATGCTAGGAAGGATTCCAACAAAAGATATTCTTTTACAGCTTCTTCGCCAAAAAGAAAGGCTGTTGTAAAGGCTTCGCCTAATTTAATTGGAATTAAACCAACTTGTTGATACCTTTTGACAGTTGTTCTGACTATGGCTTGCCACTCAGCAACCTGCAAGTCGTGCCTGATGACTAGAACTCTCTCGTCTTTGCCACTAGTGCAAAAATCATAAAAAGAGTTCCAAAATGCAGAAAGTGCATTAAGGAGAACCCCGCTAGTATACTGCCCGTCTCCTTCTTTTTCCGAAATAACTAATCCTGAACACGTTAAAAGTGGTTTCGACTCTCCTTATCTTTACAGCCTTGTAAAAAAAAGTTTTCATCTTAGTTGTTTACACATGTTACATCAAGTAAAGGACGTGTTGGTTTGAGTGCAAAATTTAAGTGTGTCAAAAAAGGGTGTGCCAGGAGTTTTCCCTCTTTAAACAGTGGCAAATTCTCTTTTAAAAATTATGTTCACCCAAACAAATTCACTCTTTGCACTAACGAGAGACTTATGTGCAATGTGATTCTGAGTTGCTTAGCTGCTCTTCCTCAGTGGAAATATCACCGATTACGACAACGTCATCAGTGGGCACATCAGCAGTGGGCATCACCACCTGGGTATTGGTTTGGCTGTTCCCCTCTAACTCCTGGTTTTCATCTCTGCCTTCCGTCTGCGAAAAAGGGCCCCCCGTTTTTCTTAGAAGTAATCGCATACTTGAAAATATTCGCTATTTTTATGTTTATTTAGTATTACTTTACTCTGGAGTAGCCGGCTGCTACAAATAAAAATGAGGCCTGACTTTAACATCCGACAAAAATTTATGCTAAACCTACGTGGATACATTTGGTACATTAGGTGAAAATGTCACACATGGTTCTGTTGTCTTTGTTGGGTGACTTTTTGTGATCTTGATAACAATCTGCTCCACAAACGTTATGATGACACTTATTACACATGAGTTTGGGTGTCTTGTGGCGAATAATCAGGGCATTTCAAACGGTGGCATGCCGTACATTTTTGGCCTTGACAGGGATAATGTGCCACGTCATCTGTATTGAATCCTTTCTCGCAATCAAAACAGAAATAGCATTAGTTTGAAAATCCTCCACACGAGGTACATCAATGAAAATGGTCTTGTTCCTAAATCAATAAAATCTTTTTGTCAGCGACAGATCCTTTCAAGGTTATCATATGTGGCTTGTCAACAGTTAAGACAAAAAATCTGGTACTTGGGGGATAAAACTTTCTGAAAGAGTTCCAATTCTTTTAATCCACTTGCGCCTTTGGGTATGCCAGCCAAACAATGGAGCTCTTTGGCCTGTGTAGTTTGTACAGGCCTTCCATGACGCAAATTCTCATACATCTGTTTCCCATCAACGTGATCATCTTTCTGCTAACGGGCTTTCATGGTGACAATCCCTCGGGTACAACACAGGTTATATGTATTCTGGATATGTATGACACTCCTCTTAGCTTTCAAAAATGCTTCCGAATTTCTTCTTCCCAGGAATCTTTCTTTTCCTCTACCACTGCTAGTGTTGGTGTTGGTGTTAAACTTTTCTCCAGAGTTAAGTTTGTTCGCTAAACTTTGCGAATACGTTTTCATTCGTTCACTGCCTTGTTTAAACTATTTCACTGAAAATGTAGTTGATTGAAACGCATGCGTGAAGATTTTGGCCTGCATGTTAAAATGAAGCGTGTGATGTGGCTGAATATGTGGTTGGTTTTGGATTTGTAGAGCAATTGCACGTTCTTAAGCATGAATGATTTCAACGCCGACATTATCATCTTGTGAGGGTTGGCGTAATTCTTTCAAACGTGTTGTAAACCATTGTTTTGCAACCACATTTTCCTTGCAACATTTACGTGGCCCGATGGTCCGAAACTCAAATTCAAAGAGTGGAGATTCAATTCGTTTCACAGCCCTCAACAACTCCCTGTCACTCATCTCATCGGCCATTTTGGACTCGATGTCTTCTACAGTCTTCAATAACTCTTCGTCACTCATCTTTTTTTTGATATTTTCTCCTCTCCATTTAAGCTCATGCATTTTTTCTTTCAAAATGACTCATGTCTTTAGGATATGGTGGTTTTTTTTTGTGGTATTGATAACTCGTGTTAAGCATGTGATGTTTTTTGTGGTATTCAAAGGTTTCTTTTGCATTAATAGGGCAAGTTTGAGCAGGTGAGGACACGTGTGGGCAAGTTCACCTTTTATTTTCTCAATCGGAGAAATGGTTGCGAGGAGTTTATATACACATGCGTAAACGCACCCACACTCAAATATTCAATCAACAATTATATTATCCACTAAAATCTTTTAATCTGTAATTGAGTAAAAGAAGCTGTATGGATTAAGCAGAGTTGTTCATTCCTTCATTCTAAAGTGTATTCAAATTCACACAAGATCTAAAACCCACAGGGAATAACTTTACACTTAAAAGAGCGATGTTGTGACCCTCCATCACAACTTCTGGTTGTTGAGTTTTTTTTCAAAAAAAGTGTGAAAATGATTGGTGCTAGTGAATTTTCAGATGGTAAGTATCTTAAAGTATGTGTATTGTTTTAAAGTAAGTAAGAAAGCATCAAACTAAAATGGTTCTATCTCTCATTTCAGACAACAACTGTTTGATCTGAGGGGTTCCTTCAAATGAAACCACAGAGTGTTGCCGTCAGCCCATCCATATTGATTTCTGTTTACAACAATGGTTTCAAACACAAGAAATGCAGGGGTTTCCTACTTGTCCAAACTGTCACCAATAACCTTTGACTCAACTGTCAGAAGGTTTGGCCGACAGATTACCCGAAAACCCAGAAGAAAACAACAACGCAGCACCTTGGTCATCAGCCGTGTAACACTTATACCACCACAATTACAACTGGGATGAGACGATTGTTGGTGACACTAATCTGATCTTCCTCCAATTTCTTGATGAAATGTCACCAAATGATGGAAGTGTGGTACAAGATATCATAACATGACAAATGTTTTTGTTGCATTTCCATGTGGCTAATGTTGGAGTTCGCTTTGCCACTCGATTTTTAGCTTCAAGCAAACACGAAGCTATGGAAATATCTAGATTTGTGCTTCACAATGTACAAGCAATGTAATTGGTTTTCAATTTTAGAGTCGATTTAGGAGCTGTTACGTTCTCTTTTGTAAATTTAAGGATAAGACCAATAATTTATGTTTAAAAGTTTAATTTTGTGTGTGTTTTTGTGTCAGATGCTGAATGTTTGCCTTATGGTTTAGAGTCTTACTCTTAAATATTACCCTTGAATCCACCTATAGGTTTTTATTGCGCCTTTAGGTTGTAAACTTCCCTTATGAAAGGCTTTCATCATGAATAATTCGATTGTGCATGCACATTTTCTAAAAACAGTCCCACGTGGATTACAATATACTTCTTAGATTCATATAAAGAACCACGGATTGGTACACATCATGCATGCTATTATCAAAGGATGATGTCATCTAAGTATACATCATCAATATATTAGCGATGATGTCATGCAGCTTTAGGTCATAAATATATTAGTAGTGATGATGTCATACCTTACAATCATGTGACAAGAAGTGTTCCTGTTCTATTGTTCTCCTTTGAAAACATGCCGACAACCTTTTGTGCTGTCGTTCTAAAGTGTGGACTCTATTGTTCTTTTGTCCCACAAGGACCAAAAGCTGCGCTGTGATTGGTTAGGACCCATGATGGCCCCCTATACTTCTTATAGAAGCAGCTCCATCATAGTAGCTTTAAATAAGTGGAGCTCACAGCGCACGCAGCATAGCCTCATAATTATACAAAATAGTAGTAACCCATCAAGCCGAAAAAATTTTAGTAACCCATCAAGCCAAAAAAATTTGGATGTAGGACCGTATGACCGTACAACTGACCGTACTAGGTCCTACTTTTAGCATGCGCCGCCAACTATACCTTGGGCATTATCTTAGCCATTACGTAATGGAAGGCGAGGGAGAAGGTAATGTGCTGGTGCAATTGTGTGCGTAACTTGGATACCCCATTAGTGTGCGCCAGGAGACACCGGCAGATGAAAATGAAGTACGCATACTCGAGTATAGAGCTTCAGTGTAGCATACTGCGGGTGCACGGTTAGGTATTGCTCGAGGGCTTCACGTGGGCTAGAATATGTGAAGCCTCGTAAGCAAATAATTTGAAACCCACATTTTGAGTGGGAAATCAAACTGGTGAAGTTGTAGTGGAACAGTAATTATCAGTATTTTGCAATATCTAATCAACTCGCTAAACAATACCCCCAAAGCTTAGTATTTTTTGTACTTTGTCAACAGGAGGAAATTGTTATAACTAGAGTTTGTGGAAAGAGGGCTTTGGGTGAAAATAGGATGAAAAGAAACAGACTGAGCAACCAAAAAAGGAAGAAGTAAAGGATGTAAAGCGAGTCGGGAAAAACACGCAAGAAAGTTAAAGAGGACACCAAAAAAAAAACAGAATATGGCGAATGAAACACGGAAAGAGGACAAGAAATGACATAAGTAAAAAGCCGAAGATCTAGCGAAGAGCAACACGAGAAGGAAATACAAAGAAGCTCCTGAAAACAGACTGAGAAGAGGTCGTCAACAAAGAGAAGTGAACTACAAAGGATCCAAGAAAGAAGAGGAGGTAAGTCATGTCTTATCCGGGTTTTCTCTTAACGCTTTGGCCCAGAAAAATTGAAACCTTTTTTACCAATCGTCGTTTGATACTAGCTTCAGTGTATAATTAAAATCATGTTCCGGTAAAACAATGACTTTGGCCTTCATCACCTAAAAACCCTCGCGCCAGTTCATCACTCGAATAACATTTCAAAGTGCTTGTATTCTTCATGGTATTTCTTGTCCTGTCGCTTGGAATGTTTGATACAGTCGTGGTGTTAACGGAAAAGAAGTTATATTACAGATTTTTTTTTGCTTAGAAAGCTTTCAAATAATAGTGAGTGGTGAGCACGTATCTAGTCGTTTCATACCCACTTTTTGATCAGTTCGTACCCAACCCTCTGGTCGATTCGTACGCAACAACTTGACACAAAATGTTTAAAACGAACGTAAACATTTATTTCATTTATCCTAGTAATGGTAAAACAATTAAGATGCATGCTCGCACGCACAAGGTATATGTGTGATCTTATTTGTTATATTGTTGAACTTTACTTAACAATGAAAGTGTCAGTGGCCTGCGTAAGGTAAGTGTTAGTTGTTTTTCTATTGTTTATACTTTTTCTTGACAATAACAGATAGGTGTGATTTTTTCTCTTTCATTTCAAAAGTATTAAATTAGAATATTGTAACAAAGAGAGTAAATAACATCAGCATTAACTAACGATATGGTCAGAATTTCGATCCTTATGGTTCAAGGGTCCACCTATAGCACGTTTTTAGAAGGTTTTGCTCGCAAAACTTCTTAAAACGATTTAGATGCAACTAAAGACATTTCTAATATGCCTGTGAGAAAATCGCAATTCACAGTCGAAATATTGAGATTCTTTAAATCTGGGTTGAGGCAAAATGTAAACAATGACATCAGCAAAGATCGCCCTATGCTTTACTCAACCTTTACTGGCTAGTATAGGTTTTTATCGTTTCATTCGCTAATTTTGCCATTTAGAGAAAGAAAGTCGTATTGTAATAAAAGTTATATTTGCAAGTTTATAACACAAAATTATAGTCTTTTCAAACTCTAAAAGTATGGATTTATTGTTTGTCGGCATAATTTGAATGGCAAATTTCTGCCAGGAGTTCTTAAAAGACTAAGTTTCTTACAAGCGAGTATTTTATTAACAGAGCTGGGAACGGTGAGGGAAGTTACAATGTTCTCCGCCTCAAGTAGCCCTCCATCCAGTATCCCATTTGAGTTAGCTGTACCAATCGAGGAATTCTCTATGGGAGAGCCAACCATCGAAGACTCACCAGTCTATGAGCAGCCGCCGCCTCTGACCTTTGAAGTTGTCAAAGGAGCATCTAAGAGTGGCCAGCAGAAACTGTTTGACAGCTGCGGCTACTCGTATTGTGTTAAACGGCGGAGGAATACGATCACATACTGGCACTGTAGTTTCCGAGACAAGTCCAACCACTGTCTGGTGTCAGTGATTCCTGAGGGCTTTACCGTTGTAGTCGAACACAACCATGTGGGAGAAGTTGGGCTCCCAGAGACTGCTAAATTGACTGCAAGAGAGAGAAAAGCCACCCGGAGCAGGTTATCGTTGACTTCGAGAGCGCTGTGTAGGGAGTCAGTCTGGAGGTGTAGTTTCTGGGGTGTGCCTTCCACTGGAACAAGGCCCTTTGGAGAAAGGTTCAAGAGCTAGGCCTGCGTATATGAGAGACTGGACTACGAATGGTTACATCAGGCGACTGATGGCACTACCCTTCCTTCTGCATGAGACCATTGCTGCAACCTTTGACAGCCTAAAACCAGAGGCCAAGACGGAGCCTTTATAGCAGTTCATCAGTTACGTTGAGGAAAACTGGATTTGCAGCAAAGTTTGGCCCCCAAGTGCTGGAGCGTATTTATGCAATCAATCAGAACAAACAATAACATTGAGGGCTGGCATCATAGCCTGAACAGAAGAGTTGCTGTAGCCCTACTGCACAAAGAAGCGAGACTAGTGTTGCAACAAATTCGTCTAGTCTCCAAGTGCAAGCGTAAGTGAAGTGCAGAGCGCTCTTTGAACTTTGGGAGGCCTTCAACAAGAAGGAGAAGTCACTGAGGCAGCTGCTCAAAGGATATGCCAATACAAACAGACCAATGATGCACTGAACTGAACTGAACTTAGACATTATTTGCATTTACTACTTGGATTTTTATTTGTTACTAAGTAGAATAAGTACGTTTAGTCATATGGGCGCTTCATGATAATGGGCAAAATATATTAGGATAAGTCAGCTAGGGTAACTAGGTCACATTTGTTCAAGAGTAAGATAACTTTTCAACGTTACTATGATTAAGAAATTAGCTTTTTTATTAGGTAGAATAAGTACGTTTAGTCGTAGACGCTGTGTAGTTAAAATAAACCCTTGATACGGGCCCAAGTGGCCCATGGGGCCAGTGCTTAACTCCAGTTTTCTTAGCATGAAGCAGCTAGGAGTATTGCTACTCCCCTCTGGATGAGATGTTAGCCCATCACAGGGTTACCCCTAGCACATTTACTGGTACCCACTTATACACCTGGGTGAAGAGAAGCACTGTGAGAGTAAAGTGTCTTGCCTAGGAACACAACACAATGAACCCGGACCACCCAATCTGGAGTCGAGTGCACTCACCATGAGGCCACTGCGCCTCCCAGTAGGTGCTGCGTGGTAGTAGGCAAAATATATTAGGATGGGTCAACTAGGTCACGATTTTTCAAGAGTATTAACTTTTCAATGTCTCTGTGATTAGAAATTAGCTTTTTTGCGATTACTAGGATAAATGAAATAAATGTTTATGCTTGTTTTAAACATTTTGGGTCATAATTTGTTGGGTACGAATCGACCAGAGGGTTGGGTACGAACTGATCGAAGGTGAGTGCGAAACGTCTGAGCCTGAGCACGAATCGTTTGGGTACGAAAGATCCATGGGTACGAAACGACTGGTAAGCGGCGAGCGCAAGTGTCTACCTCTCTCTCTCTTCGGTCAACTATCGCAGGATTTAGTCTATTCGTTTTTAACTCGTGAATTGCGCGCATGCGCAAGAGCGAGTTATAGGTACGATGTGGGGAACGGCATTCGCTCGCTCGCTCGCTCGCTCGATTGGTCGATTCCTGTAAACTTTTTTTAGATTTTAGGCTTTTGAGTGCATTTGATAGTTTTTGGCGAGCAATAAACAGACGAAATGGCGACCTTTGTTGCTAAGAATAGTGGTGGGGTGAAAAAGAAGCCAATTATAATCTTAAAAGAGTTTTTTTTTTACGTTTTAGTTCCAACAAGCGGCGCCAGCGACTGGCAGGCATGCAAGGATTCACACTGAAATAAAAGAACAACCTTCGTTTTTCATAAAATTGTAATTTACAATCCTTGAACTTGAAAACAATCCAAAGATTCATTGAAAACATCACTTACTGCGAAGCACTCGGAGTTTACAGATGTTCAAAAGCTTTTTCTGTTATAGCGTGAGATTGAGGACAAAATTGATCATTACGTTTCGTCGCGTGTGTTTTTCCTCTGTGAAGCAACAAAAGATGCCGGCGACTGACGAAATAACAAGTTAACACGAAAATCAAATAATACCTAAACAAACAATTTTAGCTACCGATTTTCAGTGAATTTTTAAAGAACAATTTTCTTTTAAGTTTCAAGACAATTTGAAGATTCAACATACATACAACGTACTAAAATGCGAAAGTTACACACCACAAAATTGGTAAATAGGCCTGAAATGAAATTCTATCTTGTTATTGATTATACGTTGCCTAGCACGTGACTTAAATCTACCCAGGCGGAGATCCAAAATGACGGTGGCAGGCTTGGCTTAGTTTTATCACTCAAAACTCGTTCCCGTTTGTCTCTTTTGATAAAGAGGGAATCTTTAATGTTTTCATTAAGACAGTATTGCCTTGATTTTCTAATATTTACAACGAAAGACAGCAAATCTCACTTTTCACCCACATTTACTTCCAACCTTTTCTCTTAAACCAGAAACACATGACATCATCCACCTTGTCAATTGCAATAGCATGATCATTTCAATTGTAATGCCTTCTTATCCCAACGTTACTTTGTTTCTTTGCTACATTAGCGAACACTGAACTACTGCTCGTACTCTAGATATGACAATCAACCACAAAATTCCCTAAACCAGATAACATTAAACATAATCTAAAAAATCATGTGTCAATTCACGAGTTTGCTCACAGAGCACTTTGATTAAAAATCGCGCTTTGCCGAAGAAGTGTTGTTTTAACCTAAGAACGAAGTAGTGGCCTTTCCCAAAATTGAAATAAAATGAGATTGAGTCAGCGATGTCTATGTTTACATGAAGTCTGACGCGGTTATTTGATTTTGACAATTTTGTCATGTGAGAACCCGTCAAACATCTGAGAATTAAATTGAGAACCGAAAATGGGTGGTGCAAACAAACTCACGGGTAAAATGGAGTTAGTTCTGGTGCGGAATGAGTGAATTTCATTGTTTAGTCATGGTACTTTTCAGCGCTATGTTTTTATGCTTTCTACTTGATTCTTTTGAACTTCAGGAAATGATTTCAATTGTCTCATAAAACATGGAGCCACTTTCTCTTCGCTCAACATCTCGAGGAATACTTACTGCTCGGGTTATGACGAACATACTTGCGATACGATATTTTTTTCACAATGCGGGAAACTGAAGAATCAATTTCTGAAATCAGTTGTCATCACATTTTGCAAGAAGCGTCTGAGCTGTAATCGTGTAATTAAACGGGGGTGTTGGCAATTTGAGTACACAAGTACGCTGGTAAGCACATGGTTAGCATAAATAATTGTTGTTTACAGTTTTTCAATTCGAAAGCCGTTTTTTAAAGGTCCGTTTCTGTAACCTTCCTGGATATTTTTTGTTGAATTCACTGAGGAACAATCTCGGAATTTCATAAGTGATTGTGAACGATAAATTCATATCGGCACCATAATTTAGGAAGGTTTTGTTGACACGTTATCAGTTTACAATACGTGAACCATTTCTGTAACCTTCTTGGATATTTTCTTTTGAATTAATTGAGTCACACTCTCGGAATTTCATCAGTAATTAAGAACGATAAATCCGTATATGTAGCACAAGTGAAGCACATTTTAAACTTTCCATGCGATTTTAGGAAACTATATATAATTGACTCGAGATGAATAATTGACCTGCGATAACGCGTTGATTATTTTGTTGCAAAAAGCACAGCATATGACCCCGGAGGTACTGAACTCGATATATTTGATACACAATGCACTCTTAAAGGAGGAAGGTTAGAATAAAATTGCTTTTACGACCATATATTGCTCCTGGTGTACATATGTAAACGAGTGCTTAAAAAAAATGAAAAAGTTATAGTGGAGCGCGCAGCGTAGCCCCATAATTATACGAAATAGTAGTAACCCATCGAGCCGAAAAAATATGGACGTACGACCGTTCCACCGTACAACCGACCGTACAAGGTGCTACATTTAGCATGCGCGGCCAACTTCACCACGGGCACTATCTTAGCCATTACGCAATGGAAGGGCTAGGGAGAAGGTAATGAGCAGGTGCGATTGCGTGTCTAACTTGGATACCCCATTAGTGTGCGCTAGGAAACACCGGCAGATGACAATGAAGTGCGCATACTCGAGTGTCGAGCTTCAGTGTAGCCTACCACGGGCACATGGCTAGGCACTGCACGAGGGCTTCACGTGGGCTAGTAGATGTGAAGCTGCGTAAGAAAATAATTTGCAACCCGCGTTTTGAGCGGGAAATCAAACTGGTGAGGTTGAAGTTAAACAGTAATTCTCAGTATTCTGCAATTTCTAATCTACTCAGAAAGCAGCAATACCGGCAGAGCTAAAGCTTTGTCAACGGGAGGAAATTATTGTGATTCAAGTTTGTGGTGAGAGGGTTTTTAAGTGAAAATAGGATGAAAAGAAAGAGACTGAGTGACCAAAAAAACAAGAAGTAAAATACGTAAAGCAGTGAATTCACTTAAATTCACAGTGAATAGATATGCCATATTTTAGCAGTCCTTTTAAATTCCATCGTTTTTGCATTTACTATTTTAAAATTCATAAAGGGCACTCTCTTTTCACCCATGTAAAGAGATATTACCCATTTCTGAAACTGAAATCTGAATCATGAAGTCAACTTAATTTAAATTTCGAGTTTGAAACTTCATTGTACATAAGAACACTTTACTAGAGTTACATTTATTTGCTGTCTTTCTGGTACATATGATTACATAACCCTTTAACTTTCAAGATTTCATTAGTAATTCTCTTTACTGTCAGCCATACAATTTATGTGATGCTAGGTTGGAGAATTTGGAATTGGATCAACCAATTATCCCCTAAATGATATTTTTCTTTATTCTCATTACTCATCTGCTTCATATTGCACTGATAGTGTAAGGAGAAATTCAGTCTAGGTCACTAGTGGGACTACAACAGTTAAAATGGGGGATTTCATAATATTGTAATGATTAAAATTTTCTTATGCTTTCAAATGTAACAAAAAAAATGTGATGAGAATCTGATAATTATGAAACAATGGAAAAACCTGTTTCTGGTAGCTTATGTCATTAATGTTTGAATGTTCATGGGAAATGCTTTTCTTCGAAAGGTAGGATACAGAAGTTTTTAAAGCTGATAGAAATAAGCTGTTTGCAAGTAATGAAAAAGCAAACTGACAATCATACCTTAATGCTTGACATGCTTCACTCAAACATGTCAGTTGTGTGTACCTACCATTGTAGAGGTGTCTTTCATGAAAATATTTTTTGGTGTGGCTGTTGTTCTTTGTTGATCTTTGTAGCCGAAACAGATACTGAAGGCACTGAACTTCAATTTCTATGTACACAAGGCACCCTCCAAGGTGGAAGAGTAGAAGACCATAGACTGATGTTTACTAGGCAGTTGCACTCACCACAATTATATATTCAAGCAATACTCTTCATATATAAAACTGATTACTTGATGCCTTTGACCCTTTACACCCTAACATCAGTATGCATATTCTCCATACTGTTCTCTATACAATTCCTGATGTGCTGGCAAGGAGAATTTGTTTAACAATCAAGTGGTTCTTCAATTGATTATCATTTCCTTTATTCTCATGACCTTAATGCTTGA